AATTTCCCTTGTGGTAGTTACATTCATGAAATATTAAAGTGACGTTTATCTCAGCTGCAAGCTCCGACGTTCAATAGTAAGTTTGTCAGGTTACTCGAGATAAAAATGCTTTTGAAAGACAAATATCCTCTATGTATTGAGTACATCAGGTACACATGACGCGTTGAACATACACGTCTACATAAAATGACATTGGGATTAGGTTTATTCAGTAAAGAAATGTAATTGAAGGGAACACGCGTCGATAAAATTGTATCTCAAGTTACGAACTAAATGATAATATCAAAGTGAATAAATAGAAGAAGGGTATTTGCATTTCAAAGTTGTTTAAAGGCTTAAGAAATGTCTTTGAAAATAGTATGAATGTATTTACTGAAGGGGCGGAGTGAACCTTTACACAGTGTAGGCATCTGAAGGGGCGGGGTGAACCCATACACAGTGTAGGCATCTGAAGGGGCGGGGTAAACCCATACACAGTGTAGGCATCTGAAGGGGGCTGAGTGAACCCATACACAGTGTAGGCATCTGAAGGGGCGGGGTGAACCCATACACAGTGTAGGCATCTGAAGGGGGCTGAGTGAACCCATACACAGTGTAGGCATCTGAAGGGGCGGGGTGAACCCATACACAGTTTAGGCATCTGAAGGGGGCGTGGTGAACCCATACACAGTGTAGGCATCTGAAGGGGCGGGGTGAACCCATACACAGTGTAGGCATCTGAAGGGGCGGGGTGAACCCATACACAGTGTAGGCATCTGAAGGGGCGGGGTGAACCCATACACAGTGTAGACATCTGAAGGGGGCTGAGTGAACCCATACACAGTGTAGGCATCTGAAGGGGGCGTGGTGAACCCATACACAGTGTAGACATCTGAAGGGGGCTGAGTGAACCCATACACAGTGTAGGCATCTGAAGGGGCGGGGTGAACCCATACACAGTGTAGGCTTCTGAAGGGGGCGGAGTGAACTCACACAGTGTAGGCATCTGAAGGGGGCGGGATGAACCCATACACAGTGGAGGCATCTGAAGGGGCGGAGTGAACCCATACACAGTGTAGGCATCTGAAGGGGGCTGAGTGAACCCATACACAGTGTAGGCATCTGAAGGGGCGGGGTGAACCCATACACAGTGTAGGCATCTGAAGGGGGCGTGGTGAACCCATCCACATTGTAGGCATCTGAAGGGGGCTGAGTGAACCCATACACAGTGTAGGCATCTGAAGGGGGCGGGGTGAACCCATACACAGTGTAGGCATCTGAAGGGGGCGGGGTGAACCCATACACAGTGTAGGCATCTGAAGGGGGCGGGATGAACCCATACACAGTGTAGGCATCTGAAGGGGGCGGGGTGAAACCATACACAGTCTGGGCATCTGAAGGAGGCGGGGTGAACCCATACACAGTGTAGGCATCTGAAGGGGTAGGGTGAACCCATGCACAGTGTAGGCATCTGAAGGGGCGGGGTGAACCCATACACAGTGTAGGCATCTGAAGGGGTAGGGTGAACCCATGCACAGTGTAGGCATCTGAAGGGGTAGGGTGAACCCATACAAAGTGTAGGCATCTGAAGGGGTAGGGTGAACCCATGCACAGTGTAGGCATCTGAAGGGGTAGGGTGAACCCATGCACAGTGTAGGCATCTGAAGGGGTAGGGTGAACCCATACACAGTGTAGGCATCTGAAGGGGTAGGGTGAACCCATACACAGTGTAGGCATCTGAAGGGGTAGGACGAACCCATGCACAGTGTAGGCATCTGAAGGGGGCGGGGTGAACCCATACACAGTGTAGGCATCTGAAGGAGGCGGGGTGAACCCATACACAGTGTAGGCATCTGAAGGGGTAGGGTGAACCCATGCACAGTGTAGGCATCTGAAGGGGCGGGGTGAACCCATACACAGTGTAGGCATCTGAAGGGGGCGGGATGAACCCATACACAGTGTAGGCATCTGAAGGGGGCGGGGTGAACCCATACACAGTGGAGGCATCTGAAGAGGGCTGAGTGAACCCATACACAGTGTAGGCAGCTTAAGGAGCGGGGTGAACAAATACCCAGTGTAGGCAGCTAAAAGGGCGAGGTGAACCAATACCCAGTGTAGGCAGCTAAAGGGGGCGGGGTGAACCAATACTCATTGTAGGCAGCTAAAGGGGGCGGGATGAACCAATACCAAGTGTAGGCAGCTTAAAGGGGCGGGGTGAACCAATACCCAGTGTAGGCTGCTAAAGGGGGCGGGGTGAACCAATACCCATCATAGGCAGCTAAAGGGGTCGGAGTGAACCAATACCCATTGTAGGCAGCTAAAGGGGCGGGGTGAACCAATACCCAGTGTAGGCAGCTAAAGGGGCGGGGTGAACCAATACCCAGTGTAGGCAGCTAAAGGGGCGGGGTGAACCAATACCCAGTGTAGGCAGCTAAAAGGGCGAGGTGAACCAATACCCAGTGTAGGCAGCTAAAGGGGGCGGGGTGAACCAATACCCATTGTAGGCAGCTAAAGGGGGCGGGATGAACCAGTACCCAGTGTAGGCAGCTAAAAGGGGCGGGATGAACCAATACCCAGTGTAGGCAGCTAAAGGGGGCAGGGTGAACCAATACCCATTATAGGCAGCTAAAGGGGTCGGGGTGAACCAATACCCATTGTAGGCAGCTAAAGGGGCGGGGTTAACCAATACCCAGTGTAGGCAGCTAAAGGGGCGGGGTGAACCAATACCCAGTGTAGGCAGCTAAAAGGGCGGGGTGAACCAATACCCAGTGTAGGCAGCTAAAGGGGTCGGAGTGAACCCATACACAGTGTAGGCAGCTAAAGGGGCGGAGTGAACCCATACACAGTGTAGGCAGCTTAAGGGGGCGGAATGAACCAATACACAGTGTAGGCATCTGAAGGGGGCTGAGTGAACCCATACACAGTGTAGGCAGCTAAAGGGGTCGGAGTGAACCCATACACAGTGTAGGCAGCTAAAGGGGCCGGAGTGAACCCATACACAGTGTAGGCAGCTAAAGGGGTCGGAGTGAACCCATACCCAGTGTAGGCAGCTAAAGGGGTCGGGGTGAACCAATACCCAGTGTAGGCAGCTAAAGGGGCGGGGTGAACCAATACCCAGTGTAGGCAGCTAAAGGGGCGGAGTGAACCAATACCCAGTGTAGGCAGCTAAAGGGGCAGGGTGAACCAATACCCAGTGTGGGCAGCTAAAGGGGGCAGGGTGAACCAATACCCAGTGTAGGCAGCTAAAGGGGGCAGGGTGAACCAATACCCAGTGTAGGCAGCTAAAGGGGGCAGGGTGAACCAATACCCAGTGTAGGCAGCTAAAGGGGGCAGGGTGAACCAATACCCAGTGAAGGCAGCTAAAAGGGGCAGGGTGAACCAATACCCAGTGTAGGCAGCTAAAGGGGGCAGGGTGAACCAATACCCAGTGTAGGCAGCTAAAGGGGGCAGGGTGAACCAATACCCAGTGAAGGCAGCTAAAGGGGGCAGGGTGAACCAATACACAGTGTAGGCAGCTAAAGGTGACAAGGCGGGCTGGTGTTGAAGGGGTCTGTACTAAGTCACTAATTGCGGCGCCATATTAGCCATACTCTACCCACCCTCCAAAACCCATCCCCCACCCCTATCCCCACCCCCACCCCCTCCTCGTTACAACATTTATTGACTGCATGTCTGCCATGCGTATAACAGCGTAGTAAAGAATAGTCTTACATACAAGGGAGATGTTGGGTACTACTTATTTAAAGCTATTCTTTTGGTTGGATTCCTGTTTTTGTTTATCGAATGCCTGAAATTGACATGAGAGCTTCAAAGTAAAGCAATATGGATAGTGCGGGGGCGTTTTTCTGTGACTGGATTAGCCGACATATTTTCTATACCTCCCAATTTGGAATTCCGGGCCAGCGTAGGTCCTTATACCCGTCGCTTGTCTATAGGCTTGTCTATTAGGTGGAGTGTTTGTCCGGAGCGGGGTCGCTGGATCGATTCCCGGCCACGTCATACCAAAGACGTTAAACGATGGTACTTGTTATTACCCTGTCTGGCGCTTGGTATTAAGGGGCTGAAACAAGGACTTGTTTGCTCAAGTCAGTATACTGTGTCTGAGTGGTGTATCCATGTTATACTGCAACATGGTATCTCAGTGGGCTAGCACTATAAAACCGGGATTAGTCCTGACTAGTACAAGCGCTCAACACGCACACACGCACGCACGCACGTGCACGTCGCTATAGGAGAACCATAATCACACACCTCACTATCACCACTGCTTGCGGTTGGTTACAATGTGTGACCTGGCCCATGGCATGCTTGTCGTAAGAGGCGACTAATGGATCGGGTGGTCAGGCTCACTGACTTGAATGAATTGATGAATGTCATTTTATCCAAATAGCGTAGAACGATGCTCATGATGTCAATCACTGGATTGCCTGGTCCAGACTCGATTATTTATTGACCGCCGTCATATAGCTGTAATATTGCTGAGTGCGACGGGAAACAAACAAAAGAAACAAACCATAACATGACAGGATGAAACGTTGCTGGTGTTCTTAACCACTGGACCACTTGGACTTACCGGGAATGTACCAGAGTGAGTGAGTGAGTGAGATTGGTTTTACGCCGTTTTGAGCAATATTCCAGCAATATCACGGCGGGGGACACCAGAAATGGGCTTCACACATTGTACCCATGTCGGGAATCGAACCCGGGTCTTCGGCGTGACGAGCGAACGCTTTAACCACTAGGCTACCCGACCGCCCCGGCATGTACCAGATGTGATTTACCTCGAATGTTACTAACCTCATCGAAACACTATTCACTAACTGACACACCACTGTGAGGCCCGCTATAAAATGATGATCGTGACGGACATGCTCCGCAGTGCACAACATTTAAAGTATACCGCCCCGTCTAAGATATTTGCATACAAATACACTTTTATTCATCAATGAATTACACCACAAAGGACAACCGACCAAACATGTATGCTTTGAATACAGCGGTTATTAATAACGTACATCTAGCCCCCGGGTAGGGAGAGGGGAGGAGGGACGCGGGTTTATCTAGGTCATCTGGGGGCTGCCTGTTGTAGACTATAAGTTAACACCACGGAGTAGTGACTGACACTTCAGCCGAAGACGATAGCAAGCTGCGCGTGTATAGATCTGCTTAAGCATCAAGGTAAGGGCTACATTACATTTATTTAAATGTTGAAATGTGACTGCATATCTATATTTATTTATTCATCGTTAAGCATCAGTATAGTTACCACTGAATCACAGTGGCAAAGGTAGTACGTGCAATAACCGAATAGTATCTCGTAGATTGTTTGTTTGTTTGTTGTTTAAATTCGCACTCAGCAATATTACAGCTATATGACGACAATCCACGCAATTGGGATACATGCATTAACCAACACAGCGAGCCTGACCACCCGATCCCGTTAGTCGCCTCTTACGACAAGCATAGTCGCCTTTTACAACAAGCATGGGTTGCTGAAGACCTATTCTACCCCGCATCTTCACGGGTCATCTCGTAGATGTTTTTTTGTTGTTATTGGTATACGTTAACGTTATTGATAAGTTTTTATTATCTCGGATGGTATGCGAATTTATGTTTATTAAAGGAAACGTTAGAGAGCGAAACCCCGTTAATCCGGACGTTACTTTCCAGTTAAATCGAACGGATTCGCGAGTGTGAAGATTAATTATCCGAGGTAACATGTTCAGCTCACCATCATGGTTTTAGGTCGTATATATGACAGAAACTGTTCATTTAACTGTTATTATTTCCAATCACGTTGATTTAAACAGAAACATTACTATGATGCTTTTAAAAGGAACATGTCCGATGCATTCTGGGGATGTTTAAGAGACTATAAAGTTCATCATATGCTGAGCCGCTGATTCCGTGGCGTGGTGCCCGACGTCGTCGATGGTTGCAAGTTCTGTCAACGAACAGTTAACTTGTCCTTTATTACGTTAATATTCACAGACACTGTGATATAGCTTAGATATTGCTGGCCTAAAACAATATTCACTCATTCACGTGGTTAGTTCTATTATTCGATCGTTGTCAGTGTCCACGTTTACAGGTAAATGATCAGTCTTTTTATCGGTAAAATTAGGCTTGGAGCGGTAATTATTGTGACTGCCAGTCCCCCTTGACAGAACATTGTCGACAGTAAAAAAAATATACTTTTCGAACGAAGTCAGCTTGTCTGTTATCATCAGTTTCCCGTTGTCTATTTTTAGTGCAAGGAAATACTATTTTGCTTTGCTTTTGGGTTCAGTATCTATTTGTAGTGACTTAGTCTTGAATCAAAGTGAAATATCCAGAAAAGAAATTGTGATTGAACTTGGTGTGAATGACATCACTGTCAGAAATGACGTCACTGAGTTTGTCAGCCATGAAAGTACACTGCATTGAAATTGATGTCGAAAGAATTAAAACAAGGTATATTTCATACGACTTTTATTGGTTCAAAATTGGGACTGACAAGAATTGGGTGAGACTGGTAATTTTTATAGCTGCCAGTCCACTGGGACTTGAAGTTTCAAAAGCCAGCGGGAACACTGGCTGGTCAGTTTAGCGGTGATTACCTAGGGCGGGTCTGCGTGCGCTGGGGGTGTTTGATCACCATTAGGTCAGTTTACGGCAGGCAGAGGTCAGTCAAAATATCACCTCGAGTGTATTTCCAAGATCTCTTTTTATCCACTCCGCTTGAACCCACGGGACGCCGCCGTGTCGAATATTCAAAATGTGTTGGAAATTATTAAGCAATTTGATATAATGTGTAAATGTAATGTCTGCCAAGACAGCGTTCAGTGGAGAAGGTCAAATATTGGGTAAAGGTTGCTTCCAAAAACCACAACAGTTGAAGAAACGTACTGAATGCGTTCGCAATACTTTTAAATTAAAAGATATTTCTGTTTTAATTTGGAAAAAATGAAACAAAACAAACAAACAATGGAACACGTGCGTCCTATGGCCGGCGAGGTGGTGTTGGATCGGGAATATTTTGTCCCTGCGTTTTACAACCAAGAATGGTTTTAATCATTTTCTATATAATATTTGGGGGAAATTTGCAAACTTTTTTATTTATAGGTAAATAAGACTGTGACTGTGTATGGCTGCACAGAAACAATGACACCTAGGAAAGGGAAGTATGTTTTTTGGTGTAACCTTGAACGTCCTTGGCCTTACGGCATTAGCCAGTACATATGCCACTTTAGTTGACACGCCCTATACCAACAAACCTGAAGTGACATGCATTGAAATTATTCAGAGCATATCTAAAAAGGATATGCCTTTCACCGGTATCTGTCCTTAGAAAAGGCTTGAATCCCTACACGTCTTCACTTGGCACGAATCTAATACACGGGTATACTTATCCCTGCAGAGCGAAAGTCTTTCTGCTACAGTTCGTCAGACGCGATTCATGAGCCCTCCCGACTTACATGGGGATCGGAAAGAAAAGGGGGGAGGGATGACAATTGGTTTAACGTCTCGTTAAAGATTATTGCATGCGCATGCACGTATGTGTGTGGTTGTTTGTACTAGTCCGGACTAATGCCCATGGTGCTTGTCTACTGAGATACCATGCCGCAATTTAACATGAATACCCCACTCAGACACAGTATACTGACCCCGAGCCGACCAGTCCATGTTTTAGCCCCTTAATGCCGAGCGCCAGGCAGGGTAACAACAAGTGCAATCTTATGGTATGACGCAGTCGGGGATGGAATCCCGGACCTTCCGCTCTCCAGGCGGACGCTCTACCACTAGATCACGGAGGCGGCCTCCGGGCAGACCCTTTATCCACTAGGCCACGGAGGCGGCCTCCAGGCAGACGCTCTAATCACTAGACCTTGGAGGCGGTCGGAGATAGAGTGTTCAAGTCAAGTTGCTGTCACTTGGCTGGTTGTGTGTCATCGAACCCTGATGGCATGGTTCATTGCTCATGCTTTCAATCATCGGTTTGGTTGGTCACGACTTGATTATTTTCTTGCTGAAGTGATATAGCTGGACTGTTCTTAATTCTGACACCCTCAAGTTACCGGATGTCGTAATACTGTTAAGTAGAGACAGTAAGACAATCTATTCACCCGTTAATTCAGTAATTCACTGCGTTGACGCCAGGGCGTACCTGGGTGTAGAGAGGTAAGGGCACGATGTTTACACTAGGTCACGTCGCAGCTCAACGCAGCCCTTTGTCACGTCGTGGGTGTTTGCCCGCCTTTATCTGCCGAGTCAGCAAGTACAGGGTGCGTGTCGGGCCATCTATGACTGACAAACTTGAAATGTACTGATTTGAATTAAATTAAGTGACCCTTTCAAAATGGATTTGAATAGTTAGTTTCAATAGCTAGGCCCTATCGATGTGTGCATCTTATGATGTCAATAAATAGTAGCACATATTGGTTAACAGTTCTTATACAGCTGGAGCAAGTGATCGTATATTTAAGAAATAAACGACGAGTGGGAGTTGTTTATAATACAATAATACATTGCAGGGAGAATAAACCACGAGGGACGCAACCCCGAGTGGTTTGTAATCCCTGCAGTGTTTTACTGGTGGATCACATCGGATGACATTTCGCTAACTTTGACCGACCACCTCATCTTTGTTCAGCGATAGCGAGAAATAAGATCTGATTTTAATGAGATTGTTTATTTTTTTTATGTGAGATATCAACATTAAGTACAGGATGATGATAAATAAAATGTACAAGCTTTAAAAATATTTACCCGTATTTAAATAATGATGACTCCCTCAATTGAATCCGATTCAAGGGACCCCCCTCTAAAATATAACGTCGTCACCAAGTTGCAAGTGCACACACACACACACACACACACACACACGCAATAACACGCACACATGCACGCACGCACGCACGCACGCACACACACACATATGCATGACCATATCAGACACACACACACACACACACACACACACACACACACACACACACACACACACACACACACACACACACACACACACACACACACACACACACACACACACACACCTGTATGCATGACCATATCAGGGCTAGTGATCACAGGTAGATTAAATTTCAAAAAACTAGGTTTAGGGGCGTCAAGAGTTATGTTCTTTACCTAAAACAAGTATTTATTTTAGTAATTTGATCCAAAATTCCAAGATGGCGGTCAAAATTCCACTGAACATCTGCCTCTCCTGTTGCTGACTTGAACCTTATCACAAAAGAAAGCAAATATTTCGTCATGAATAACCTCGATATGGGCTCGTATACATTATACAGAGGCCCCTTTTTGTGTTTCTCAACTGCTGTTCCTCAATATGTGCATTGGGTAATTCAAAACATGGATGATGCAAACAATCTTGATTCGCACTGAATAACTCAACAAACATCTTTTCCAGCGCTGCGTATTTGATGAAGGAACGCAAGTACAGCACAAGCACCCTCAGACGGAATAAACACGAAACATTAGACACGTTAACAAAAGAAGGGTCCACTTAAATCTTGCATTTACAGTAAAAGCAAATATGCATTAGGACACATCTATTAAAGCAAAGGGCTTGAAGAATTGTTTGTCTCAGTGAGTTTAATTCATGAGATGTGTTTAGATACACCGAGTGTGTCACATGGAATAAAACAGAAGAAATACATCCGAAAAAGCGATTCTTTGAATGTTACTTTTACTAAAGGAGCATACTTATGTATGAGTTTGTCAAACAAACTGCCGACCCGTGAAGATCCGGTGTAGAATAAGTCTTCAGCAACCCATGCTAGCCGTAAAAGGCGACTATGCCTGTCGTAAAAGGCGTCTAACATGAACGGGAGGTCAGGCTCGCTGAATTGGTTGATGCTTGTCATTGTTTCCAAATTGCGTGGATCGATGCTCATGATGTCAATCTCTGGATTATCTGGTCTCGACTCGACCGGCATTAAGGGACTAAAACAAGGACTGGTCGGCTCGGAGTCAGTATACTGTGTCTGAGTGGGGTATTCATGTTAAACTGCGGCATGGTATCTCAGTGAGCCAGCACTCTAAATCGGCATCAGTCCGGACTAGTACAAGCAGCCACACAAACACACACACGTACATTCACGTCGCTATATAAGTGCAATAATGTTGGACGCGACGTCAAACCCCATTTCACCTCACCTCACCTTTCGGGACCCGGGTTGGGATAAGTCTAAAGGTGTCCAAAGTGTATCGTAAGAAGCGGTTACATTTGGTCATTGATTTGTTTTGGTTAGTTACACCGCGGCGTCAAACAACAACCAACCAATTATACTATTACGAAACGAGCCACTCCTTAAGATGGCACCAATTGTTCACGCTCAGGGTAAGGGTCATAGACAGGAACTGCGACCATGTTCTACGATTTCGTCTGTTTGTTGAAATGGGAGAAGGAAGCCGACCTGATCACTCTTGTTCTCCAGCTTTTGTTCGGCAAAGAAATTGGGTGTCTTTGGTTGATAAGCGTTGCAGCATCGCCGAAAAAAAGCATTTAATCTGAGGGGTGTTGCTTGATATTATTGTCCAAACCTTTGCCCAACCAACCACACACCGCCATGGGGTTTCTGGCTTGATATTGCTGTATGAACCTTTACCCAACTCATCACAAACCGCCATGGTGTGTCTGGCTTGATATTGTTGTATGAACCTTTACCCAACTAACCACACAAAGCCATGGGGTTTCAGGCTTGATAGTGCTGTATGAACCTTTACCCAACTAACCACAAACCGCCATGGGGTGTTTGGCTTGATATTGCTGTATGAACCTTTGCCCAACTCATCACAAACCGCCATGGGGTGTTTGGCTTGATATTGCTGTGTGAACCTTTACCCAACTAATCACAAACCGCCATGGTGTGTCTGGCTTGATAGTGCTGTATGAACCTTTACCCAACTCATCACAAACCGCCATGGGGTTTCTGGCATAATACTACCCCTGCGTCACAGGGCCATATGACACAGTTGAACCAATCAACTCAACTCGAAAGGGTCACGCACTCACGAATACGGTGTAAGCGTTGGGCGTCTCAACGTACGTGATTCCCGTGCACCCTTTCGAGTTGAGTTGATTGGTTCAACTGTGTCATATGGCCCTGTGACGCAGGGGTAGCATTATGCAGATCGCTGCTTATAATTAAATTCGACAACGTAAAACATGTTTTATCTACAATAGCTTAACCAAGACGGTTGTATATATCAAAGCATACAAAAATGACGAGATTGATAAACAACATTCCAGGTGTATGGATACATACTGTGGAGTGACATGAATCAGGTGATTGTTTAATTTATGCACATAACTTGATACGCCTACACAATCAGTAGCCATTCAACGGAGAGTAGGATGAAAAACGATTCATAGGACCTGTCAATCAAGGCAAGAGGCCAGAAGAACTGCAACAGTTAGTCTGTAACGAACTGGAACAAATATGTCAGGGAGAAGGCGGCTGTTTCAAATGACATGGTCAGCTACGCGAATTCATACAGTTGGCATATCGGTTTTTCGATTCATTCCTCAATGAACCGAAGACAATACACAGTCAATCCTTAAATGCATGCAATAACACGTGACCAATTCAGCTAATCAGAATGCAGGAATATCAATGAACACAACGAAAATTTAATTATTAAAGTATGGGAGTTACGATCATCTTAGTGCTACGATCGCTTTGTGGAACAGGGCCTGGAATAATAAATCGTCGGTCTCTTGTTTTCAGATCCAAGATGAGCGGCTGTGTATGCGACCCCCTGCACAAAATCCCGTGGGAAATTGCCAAGGAGATGGTGGGACTGGCCGCATACGCTTCATGGCACGCCTCCAACACACTGGCGGGAAAGAAAGGCGATGCTGCGGAGGATCTCAAGAAGGCTGACCTCCATTACAAGCAGTTCATGGAGTTCGGGCTTCCGACAGAAAAGGTATGCCTTATGTTCAAGGATATGGCCTGGGCAGCGGCCTGGTCCACAGCCCACGAGCGAATGGGAGAAAAGAGCGAGGCTGCATCCAACAAAGCCCGTTGGGAGGAGAAGTGTAAAGAGATCGTTGCGTCAGGAGAAATCGACGCAGGTCTGGCAAATGATCTCAAGGAGTTGTGTTGGTACTCTGGCTGGCACTCCGCAAACACCAGAAAGTTTTTAGGTCTCTTCCACAGAGATGATGCCCAAAAAGATGCTGAGCGGGTAGAAGCGTTGTTTCAAAGCATTGGAGGAGACTGTCGTCTCGTTTGTATCGATTTTATCCAAGACAGATGTACCTTGATCAATCCCACGAAACCCAAGTTCTTTGCAGAACAAAAGCTGGAAAATAAAAGCGATAGCGAACAAGAGATGTCCTGTTCCTTCAAGCACTGGAACACACAGACAAAATCCTGGAGCACCAGTATCAAGTGGAAGTTCACAGTGGCTGGCGCAATAGCGGGTCTCTATTTCGTGGCTGGCGGTATAATGGCCTCCGTGTCGTACAGCAAGGAAACAACTGAAGGCGGAAGCATCACAGACGGAGAAGAAAAAACCTATAACTTCAATGTAAAAGTTGGGCCAAAGAGCATGGTCACCGCAAAGGGAATTGTCCAAGAGGCTACAGCCGAAGTTCCTTACTTCATGATCTTTGACATCGGTGGTAAAAGATACTGCAAGGAAGGACTTTGGAGCGGAATAGTTGCTGGGAGAGTGGAGTACGAGATCGGGGAAACCATCCCCCTTGATTAGTGATCCGAGGAGATTCCGTATTGACTTTTAGACCATTGATAATGCCAGTTTAGCATCAATGTATGAGTGGACAGTGTAACCGTCTCCAAACATCAGCAGCGTGTCCCTGGTCTTGTAAATCTGTAGGGACTATGTGGTTACTTCCATTTTTGATGACAGGTCAGGGGTCAACCATTTCACATTCGATTAGTGATGATGAAGGATCTGTTAGAGATTTGGTATATTTTGTTCACTATTATTTTAACACGTGAATTTTCCTTAACGTACAAAACATATATTAGTGCATCAATAGCGACTAGAGGAAGAAAATCATTCTTTCATGTAATTGTGTTGTGCATAAACCAAGCAAAACAAAGTACATTCAATGTCGAATTATATTTTCCGAGATCACCTACCACAAACCACCAAGTCTTCCAGATAACATTTCATGGACAAATGTGTGATGTTTGATCGTGTCATGGAAACATTGCAATGTATCGATACTTTGATAAATCGTTGCACCACATCTTACAGAATATGATCATGCATAAAGAAATATAATAGCATATATAACTTAGTTGTGTACGGCTTCTTGGCAATGTGTTCTTTCAGTTTCAGTACGAACAAAGAATATATATTTTGTTGTTACCAAACATTATTGTACCTTATATAGAGTTCTAGTTGGTCATCAAAATCAATATTGCAAAATAAAATATTTGACTACCTGTTAAATTGTTGTTCTCTCATCAACTGAATTTGAAAAGAATGAGTTACATTATTGATTATCAAGGGTTTGATTCAAAAGTGAGTGAGTGAGTTGGGTTTAACGCCGCTTTTAACATTATTCTAGTTATATCACGGCGTGTCAGCTTAACGTGGGAGGAAAGCCCGAAATGATGCAGGTCACAGACGTATACCACTTCGGTGAAACCCACGAGCACAGGTATGGTGCTGACAAACCTAGAAACATAATCGGGGCGAACCGGGATTCGAACCCACGATCATTATCCAACATGTAAGGTAAGGTGCATTATCCAACACGTTCGCAAAGAGATCATTATCCGACATGTAAGGTAGAGAGCATTATCCAATATGTTAGGTAAAGAGCATTATCTAACAATTAAGGTAAAGAGCATTATCCAACATGTAAGGTAAAGATCATTATCCAACATGTACGACAGAGAGCATTATCCAACATGTACGACAGAGAACCATAACCAACATGTAAGGTAAAGAGCATTAACCAACGTGTAAGGTAAAGAGCATTATCCAACATGTAAGGTAAAGAGCATTATCCAACATGTTAGGTAAAGAGCATTATCCAACATGTAAGGTAAAGAGCATTATCCAACATGTAAGGTAAATTGCATTATCCAACACGTTCGCACAGAGATCATTATCCGACATGTAAGGTAGAGAGCATTATCCAATATGTTAGGTAAAGAGCATTATCTAACAATTAAGGTAAAGAGCATTATCCAACATGTAAGGTAAAGATCATTATCCAACATGTACGACAGAGAGCATTATCCGACATGTACGGTAAAGAGCATTATCCAACATGTTCGCACAGAAAACATTATCCAACATGTACGACAGAGAACCATAACCAACATGTAAGGTAAAGAGCATTAACCAACGTGTAAGGTAAAGAGCATTATCCAACATGTAAGGTAAAGAGCATTATCCAACATGTTAGGTAAATTGCATTATCCAACATGTAAGGTAAAGAGCATTATCCAACATGTAAGGTAAAGAGCATTATCCAACATGTTCCCACAGAGAGCATTATCCGGCATGTTAGGTAAAGAGCATTATCCAACATGTAAGGTAGAGAGCATTATCGAACATGTAAGGTAAAGAGCATTATCCGACATGTACGACAGAGAACCATAACCAACATGTAAGGTAAAGAGCATTAACTAACGTGCAAGGTAAAGAGCATTATCCAACATGTAAGGTAAAGAGCATTATCCAACATGTAAGGTAAAGAGCATTATCGAACATGTAAGGTAAAGAGCATTATCCGACATGTACGACAGAGAACCATAAGCAACATGTAAGGTAAAGAGCATTAACTAACGTGCAAGGTAAAGAGCATTATCCAACATGTAAGATAAAGAGCATTATTCAAAATGTTAGGTAAAGAGCATTATCCAACATGTTAGGTAAAGAACATTATCCAACATGTAAGGTAAGGAGCATTATCCAACATGGAAGGTAAAGAGGATTATCCAACATGTTCCCGCAGAGAGCATTATCCGGCATGTTAGGAAAAGAGCATTATCCATCATGTTCGCTCAGAGAGCATTATTATAAGGTGGAGAACTGTACAACGTGTAAGCTGGAGAAATGTACAACGTGTAAGGTGGGGAGAACTGTACAATGTGTAAGGTGGGGAGAACTGTACAACGTGTAAGGTGGGGAGAACTGTACAACGTGTAAAGTAGGGAGAACTGTACAAAGTGTAAGGTGGGGAGAACTTTACAACGTGTAAAGTAGGGAGAACTGTACAAAGTGTAAGGTGGGGAGAACTGTACAACGTGTAAAGTAGGGACAACTGTACAACGTGTAAGGTGGGGAGAACTGTACAAAGTGTAAGGTGGGGAGAACTGTACAACGTGTAAGGTGGGGAAAACTGTACAACGTGTAAAGTAGGGACAACTGTACAACGTGTAAGGTGGGGAGAACTGTACAAAGTGTAAGGTGGGGAGAACTGTACAACGTGTAAGGTGGGGAGAACTGTACAACGTGTAAAGTAGGGAGAACTGTACAATGTGTAAGGTGGGGAGAACTGTACAACGTGTAAGGTGGGGAGAACTGTACAACGTGTAAAGTAGGGAGAACTGTACAAAGTGTAAGGTGGGGAGAACTGTACAACGTGTAAGGTAGGGACAACTGTACAACGTGTAAGGTGGGGAGAACTGTACAAAGTGTAAGGTGGGAAGAACTGTACAACGTGTAAGGTGGGGAGAACTGTACAACGTGTAAAGTAGGGAGAACTGTACAACGTGTAAGGTGGGGAGAACTGTACAACGTGTATGTGGGGAGAACTGTACAACGTGTAATGTGGAGAACTGTACAACGTGTATGTGGGGATTACTGTACAACGTGCGAGGAAGAGAGAACTGTACAACGTGCGAGATTAGGGAGAACTGTACAACGTGCAAGGTAGAGATTACTGTACAACGTGCAAGGTAGGGAGAACTGTACAATGTGCGGGGTATGGATTACTGTACAACGTGCGGGGTAGGGAGAACTGTACATCGTGCGGGGTAGGGATTACTGTACAACGTGCGAGGTAGGGAGAACTGTACAACGTGCGGGGTAGGGAGAACTGTAAAACGTGCGGGGTAGGGATTACTGTACAACGTGCGGGGTAGGGAGAACTGTACAACGTGCCGGGTAGGGAGAACTGTACAACGTGCGATGTAGGGATTACTGTACAACGTGCGGGGTAGGGAGAACTGTACAACGTGCCGGGTAGGGAGAACTGTACAACGTGCGTTGTAGGGATTACTGTACAACGTGCGGGGTAGGGAGAACTGTACAATGTGCGAGGTATGGATTACTGTACAACGTGCGGGGTAGGGAGAACTGTACAACGTGCGGGGTAGGGAGAACTGTACAACGTGCGGGGTAGGGATTACTGTACAACGTGCGGGGTAGGGAGAACTGTACAATGTGCGAGGTATGGATTACTGTACAGCGTGCGGGGTAGGGAGAACTGTACAACGTGCGGGGTAGGGAGAACTGTACAACATGCGAGGTAGAGAGAACTGTACAACGTGCGGGTTTGGGAGAACTGTGCAACGTGCGAGGTAGGGAGTACTGTACAACGTGCGAGGTAGGGAGAACTGTTCAGGTACTAATGCAGCTAAAAACAACAACTGTACACAAGGAGGCGCGGTTCCCATCCGAGTCACTCAAGGTGTTGTTTCTTTCGGGGACTTATGATTACATGGGACTTGAGTGAGTGATTATGGTTTTACGCCTCTTTAAGAAATCTTCCAGCAATAGCACGGCAGGGGACACCAGAAATGGGCTTCACACACTGCATCCATGTGGTGAATCACACAGGACTTGATCGTTGGCAACACCCGACAACTCTTTTCCAGCTCTGGATTTCTTCATCAGAACATGGAACATGGTACCCATGGCTGTTGCTTTCACCAAAGTGGTAAACGTTTGAGACCTGCATCACTTCAGGCTTTCCTCCCACATTAAGGTGACACACTGTGATATAACTGGAATACTGCTCAAAACGGCGATAAACCCAACTCACTCGCTCACTCACTAATTAGAAGATATAAACGTCGAACTTTCTTATAAATATAGAAAGAGTTTTGTCGAGAGTTTTTTTTACGCTTGGAGGTTTTTGAAGGCCAAAACGGCATTATCTGATTGCAGACTTGCCTCCTAAGATACCCTAAGATAATGACAAGCTTCCTGGAACATGTTACCAGTAGTCTAAATTATATCGGGTAGTCAGACTCGCCGACCCCGATGGCTTGGGGCGTGGCCCTCTAGAGTGAGTAAGTGAGTATGGTTTTACGCCGCTTTTAGCAATATTCCAGCAATATCACGGCGGGGGACACCAGAAATGGGCTTCACACATTGAACCCATGTCGGGAATCGAACCCGGGTCTTCGGCGTGACGAGCGAAGCTTTAACCACTAGGCTACCCGACCGCCCCTTGTGGCCCTCTAGAACCACTGGTTGGTCTGGTCTGGGTTATGTACAGACTGCCCCAATCTAACAGGAATGTTGCTGAATACTGCCCATGCGTATTTTTCAAAGTGACGTATACGTCGGTAGAGAAATAATACGTGATGTCAACTGCTCAGTAACACTGTTAGATCTAGCAAAAAAAGGGACTGTTAATCTTGAAATTAACGCGAGCGTGAATTAATTTCGAAAAAATGCGAGTAGTCATTATTCGCATAAATGAAACTTCGCATTTATAGCTCCAAAATGAATATCGACAATAAGACGGCCCCACTGCTCACTGGAAATACCAACCTGAATATAAACACAAACACGGTTAATTGAGCAGCAGTTGTAACAAGTATACTACTCAAAAGAAGTTAAAGAACACCAGATATATAATACACGACTTAGCAAATTGGTCATGGCATTATGTGTTATAACATTACTATCATCTAATGTTTGGCAACATGTTGCACCACGTCTGGGGTATTGCTGATCCTCCTGACACTTTCTGGAAACACTTCTGGTAATCATGCAAATGAATTGAAAACATGAGCAAAACACAGGAATATTGTCGCCCAAACACAACGCTGCACCTGTCCTTAGCAACAACCAACACAATTTTCATGCTCAGCCTATGGAAGTGGTGATGTTCATGGTGCACGTGCATGCTTTCCCTTGAAGAAGGCGATGACGATGATCGTGTTATCACACTTTCCAAAACCATGCCACAGAGACGACATCTGACTGATGTTGAGAGAGGACGAGCTATTGGTTGGCTCCAGGATGGCCTTTCTTTACGTGAAGTGGGCAGAAGATTGCAGGTGTCCCCCTTCTGTCATTCACACCCTTTGGCATCGTTTTGCTGCCACTGGCAGAGTGCAAGAGCGACATCGTTCTGGACGGCCAGGGTGTACCTCACAACGTGATGACCGATACCTGGTTCTCCAAGCACTCAGGCAGTGTACATCAACAGCAAACAACCTCAGGTTACAGTTAATGGCTGTCAATAACA